ATATATTATTATCGCAGAGAAATCAACTGAATGCTACATTCTAATCAGGCAGCACAGGGCGAAAACCGTAACCTGTGAGCCATGGAGTAAAAAATAAATGTACATTAACTAATCCTTAAAAGCTTTTCCGTTGTGTCTACGGTCCTCCTTCTAACAGGAACTCAAACTGCCACCTTGAAAGTCCGGGCAATATTCAGCGTGCCCGAGAGCACTGCTCTCTGCATCTTTCGCAGTACGTCTGTGCTTCTGCCTCCCACCAGCTCGCGCATCATGACATCCAGCTCCCGTGACCACCCCCCGAGGGCATCCATAATGATGTTATATTGCTTCACCACGTAGCCTGGGAACTGCTGCCTTAGTTCCCAGCGAACGGGTCCGTACTTCAGTGTCTTCTCTTCACTTACATTTTTATTAGACATTTTAACACATTTTTTTCGATTTTCAAGTATTTTATCATAATTTTTGTTATAATTTTTTGTGATTATGGTGAATAAAGGATTATTTAAACAAAATTATTATTATTATTATTATTATTATCATTATTATTATCATTGTTCTTGTTGAGATGATGGTGATACTGATTATTGTTATTAGCTATTCTCTTCTTTTATTTACCGTTAATGCATTTCTCTCCAGGTGCTACATAGTTAGCAATAGGGAGTACTGTAGATGATGATGACACAAAACCAGGATTGCACTTGCAGTAGTAAGAGCCAGGAGGAAGCAGTGGACTTATGAATTTCGTGTCACACTTTGATCCATATGAGTCGCCACATTTGTTTTGCAATTGGCAAATGTCACCTGTGAAGAATAAATGACTTTAATATCTGACTGACTCGCTTGCCTGCCAATACTGAGTTCCATGATATGGAAGAACAGCAATGAAAATAGATTATGGTCAACAATCAACAAGCTGACCTTGTATTTGTAACAAAATTTAGATCAAGGCAGTGGATATATAGCAAAATATTCAGGGAAAAAATATCGAGCAGTTGCAAAGTTCTTCCGTCAGAAGGAAAATTAAGTCACCCATAGAAGGTGAAACAAGAGTACGCTCACTCAGGCCAGGTTCGACTGTGTTACGCATGCGCATGCACTTCGGAATCACATAATCAATGCACCTCGGTCAGGCTGTTTAACATATTGACAACTTATATCTACGTATAGTTACCTTTGACGCGCACATCACTTCTGCTACAGCGAAAAGTATGTCTTCTCTTCTTGTTTAACCAAGCTATTGAAACGTTACGCATGAGAGGATTTGGAACACAGTTAGCCATGCTATCTGAGTTGATTGAATTGGGACGGTAGATCTAGTAATATTAATGAAAACTCCTCCCAAAGCAATCACCCAATGTTGAGTGTTCCTAGAGCAGCCCCCGTCCTCCCCCGAATAACGCCACCAAATAGAAAGCAGGTTTTCAATGGCATGTAAGGGATAACAGTGCGATTATTCGTCAAGGTGTCACTATAAGTACTGAGTATCTGAAAATAAAACCTTTGTCGGCACTCTTTTAATGCTTCAAACTAACAAACGCAACGTTACATGTTAGTACGGCTCGTACTCGGAAACATCCTTTAGGGTGATATTTACCACTGAAGAACAAAATTTTTTATCTCATCATCGGCATCAGCAACCAATAAGGAAGATGCAATTATTTGCTTACTTGTGTACAGAGCTTTGATGGTGACCACACCACTGTCTTGAACCATCATGACAGCTCCATTGACGTACTTTTGTTCAAGTTCGCCTTGACGTGATCCACATTTATCCTTACTGCTGTCTTCATTCCGCTGTACAGGAATCAGTACTGCAGTGTTAACAGTGAGGCTATCTGTTTTAGGTGGAAGATCGATTACAAGGTCTTTCCTTTTAACTCTTAATTTGCGATGCGGCAAAACGATCTGAGCGTAGTCGCCTGGCGAAAGATCTTCAAAGTCATATTTCCCTTTTTTCAGCATCCCCTTGTCTTGCGAATCGGTACCAGCAAGGTACTTTATGTTCGTGTCCGTCGCATCAGCTGGAGATCAGTAACAGTAAAAGACTCTTGTAGATGTAAATTGATAAGAGAACATCAATGCATTCAACTGCAACTGCAAAACTTTGGTAGAACTTACCATTCAGAAAGACCTGTACGTCGCATAGTTTGATGTACCCTTTTGCTACAATATATACATATCTTCCTAGCATTGGCTCAGCACAGCTAAACAAGGTGGGCGCTCTCCGAATAAGAACACTTTTGAGACACAATGGATTACATGTAAAATCATTGTCCCTGTTGCCTTAAGGAAAAAGAAACATAAAATTAGGAAGCTCCTAAAACTCCCAAGCGAGGGCTGATACTATCAGACGAAACAATTTTTTAACTATTTTAGTAAGTTTATGCAGCGCTGCTCACTAATTTATCATTTTTAGAAGTAAACAATTTTTTAAAAAGAAAATGTGGTATGAAAACCCTCTTGAATTTTACCCAAGAACAGATCGGAGACATCTTTTTACACTTGGAAAGATTCTTACCCATTGACATGAATGAAATTAATTTCATGATTACAAAATCCGCAATAAAAAAAAATTGGAGATCGACTTGAAAAGAAGCCTAATTGACGGCACCTTTCATTCGCTGGAACGCATACAATATATAAAGTACCTACGCGTCACGATTGACGAAAATGTAATTAAGAAATATCACAGCTCATTTGTCTGCTCTCGTATATCTCGTAATACTAGAATAAATTCCTTGTAACGTAATCTATCCTATATCCGTGTTCTTGTAATGACACATCAACCTGGTGCAGAACACATATTAGGCAAACTTAAGTGAAACAAAATCATGTTGCGAGATTAATTTTCTTTTCTTATAACATCTCTTGAAGAAACAGAGAGTGCCAAATTCTTGATGACTTTACTGGGCCCCCTAACAGTAGATAAAATTAATTGACTTCAAAATGTCAAACTCATTAATTATTCATATGGTGATTATCCAACCAAGAGACGACAATTTCGTCACGTGCATGTGGTTTGAAACCTCGGCGAAACACGAATAACGCGCTATACAAAATATCAAACCCTTGAGTTTGATAAAGCATCAAACACTAGCGAACTCATTTCTTAATTTGAAGAACAAAAATAAACTAGCCGACAACTTGTGGAAAATTCGTGAACATTTCCATTTTCTTTTATTCCTTAGGCACGATTGAAAAGCTAGTTAAAAAACTCGTGCACTGGGTTTCATCAGGGTTTCCAAACACTCCAAAACAATAAAAGCACTCGGCCTGCATAATGCGATGAAACCCTCGCACGCGGTTTTGAAATAATACTTCTAAAATTCTTGCATTCATGGTATGAAGGCCTTCTTCCCATAATATTTGACGACACATTTCGATATTCTAGTAACATTGATGGTTAAAACCCAAGATATAAGCTAAACAGAATCTCTACAACTCTCAACCGCTAACTAATCTAGATAAACAATCAAATTTTCTTTAATGGCAATCGATATTTTGAATGACCCACCACCCTCTTAAAATGTTTTTAAAGTGTAATTGCAGTAATATTTCTAAAGCAAGTCAAACTTAATCTACTGTCAGAACAAGAAATAAAGCAACTTTCCTCTTCAATTAGTTTAATTAACAAAGGCTGATAGTTTCGAAAGAAACTGTTTGGGGCTGCGTCGGTGGGAGTAACGAAATAATTTGGATATATCAACAAAGTTGAAATGGTAAATTGGCCACCGTAATGATTACAAAAGCTGACGTTTCGAGCGTTAGCCCTTCGCTCCGACGAAGGGCTAACGCTCGAAACGTCAGCTTTTGTAATCATTACGGTGGCCAATTTACCATTTCAACTTCGTTGATATATCCAAATTATTTAGTTTAATTAACGTTTCCTTCGTTGTTAATTTTATCGTAGACTTACCTGCTGCCATCTAGAGCTTAGAATTACTAGGAGTTAACAAGTAAATGCTTGGTCAATTTAGCTTCCTTGTTGACATTTTAACACTACAATTTTTGCATCAATAATATAAAATCAAAGAATTATTATAAATTCAATGTAATCGTGTTCAGTGAATAAAACGCTTTTAATGTTTTTGTGTTCGTCTTACCTATTCTAATGTCAATGTTTGATAATGCTTCCTTGCTCATAATGCGAACTTTTTCCACCCATAGCTGTTTTCCTAAATCAATCTGCAACCACGGGGCTTTGATTTTTTTAGAATTTTCAAAGCAGGTTTCTTTCTCGAATGCATCATCCACCGCGTGAATAGGTTTGCCCTGGGATTGTCCAATTCTAATGTTGGTTTTTACTGGTCTTTGGTAAGCTACGTTTATCTTTGGTCCTGCAAATGAGCAAGAGTAGAGCACGTGTGTTGTGGTCTATTTTTGTGCAGTGTCTATCCAGGTTGAGTTGGGGGGAGGGGTGGTGCCTCGCATGGACCTTGTGTTCCGTTCGCACTAATCCTTCCGGGCCTAGTCACACCCGGTAAAGTCGTTAAAACAAAACAAAACAAAGCAAGTATGGGAAGTGTTTATAGAATTCTCTTTTGCAAAACTCACAATAAGAATTTCGTTAGCCTTTCATGCACTCAGGATGAAGGCAGTACAATTCACTGTTACCACAAAGTCACTTAATCACGTACACTAAGGTATTTTTTGGGTAACATAAGACGTTATCAAGCCACAACTATTTCTTAAAATTCAAAGAAGGAGATAGAACCGACTTATGACTATACCATAAAAGATACCTATCCTCCCCGCCCCATCTCCTCGCTGGTGATTTGATTTTGTTCAGATTCAGTCCACCAGATTTATAGGTAGAAACCAATCAATCAAACACGGCAGGACCTGTTTATGAAAATTTTTCTGACTGTGTTCATCATCTTACCTTTAGAACCTGCTGTTAGTGAAAATTGTAGCATCACGAGACATAAAATGCCAATGGCGGTTGCTTTCTTCATTGCAGCACGATCTGCGTTCGGAACCCGCCACATCTCCCCAGTACAAACTAAATCGGGCAATTGATTTTGCTGAACTCTTACAAATGTCTGTTTTTCTAAGACCAAAAATGCTGATTATGACGTCGACAAGCAATTTATTGCGCTAATTAGCAAAGTGCGCGCGCGGTCCGCATAGCACCGAGGGCGCCTATTCCCATCATACTAAATAAGAGTTGGAGAGAAAAAAAGTTGGCTTTTGAAGGTTTGTAAACGGTTTGACTGTTTATAACGTGTTTTGATTTCATTAGTGCCACACACGAGTTTGGGACACTTGGATGGCGTCATGTACAAGTTTAAGACACAGTTGTACTTAGGGCCAAGAAAATAACCCCTGAATATTGAAACATTAGAATTTGATGAAAACCCAATGAGCCTATAAATGAAATATTGTTGTTTCTAAATTAATGTCACAGCTCTGTTATGGGCTGACGAAATACCCTCTGAATATTGAAGCAATAATTTTTGTTAATGAGCAAGCTATGAGGAGTGAACTGCAAAAGTTCGATAATGACTTTCTATTGTTTCAATATTCACGCCTGTACTTTTATTTAATTAGTATGTCTGTTTTATCATACTTAGTAGAGGGCAAAACAAGGCCAAATACTTACAAATTTCAATGTCTTCTGGCTTGAAATGCTTTTCACATGTAAATACTTTATCATTATCAATTTGGTTTTGAAAATCTTTATCAATGACTCGATATTTCGTCAGCTCGTTTAGCCAAGCTTCGCGCCATTTTCGAAAGTCATCGTTGAGAGGAGCGGGTAGTTTCCAGATGCCGATTCCTTTGGTTCTACGGCACGAACCACATCCAAAGACAGAACAATTGTCTCCAGGCATTGTAGAGAGATCAACTAGCGAGAATCGAACTTATATATAGCGTAGTTTGCGTCTAAAAACAAATTTTTAATCGAGGAACATGACGCAGCCTAAATCTCGTCACTCCATGTTTTGTTTCGAGTGTGCACGGTCGTGTGACGTCATTGCTCATAAATCTGAACAAAGAGTTACTTCTTTGAAGTTCGCCGCGCTTCCTAACCAGCTGTGGTTTTATTTGCCACAAACATTAACAATAGATAAAAAATTACCTGCATTCGGCGCGAAAATATGCACGGATATTAGTACGCGGACGTTATACTTGTTCAAGAGTCGAAAAGTTTTACAAGGGTGAAGCTCTGTATGTCGGCTGATGATTTCCACGGCTGAGATACTGTCCGTAAAATGTCTGTCCGCAGCGATGCTTTGTGAGTAAATGTAGAATTTTGTGCACAATCTGTCAGCAAAAGACATTATCAGCTGACTTACTAGCAAACCAGAAAGGGGTTTATCTATTTAATAAGCCTGCTATTAATTTTTGCATCATGCGTCGACGGTAAAATGAGTTTGTTGGCTTTTTCTACTTTCAGGGGCACTATTTCAGATAATCTGAAATCAGATAATCACATAGTCTAATCAGATAATCACAGCTTTAATGTCACTATTACTTGATCCTTGAAAACAAGTTCCTTTTTCTTTCATGTATAGTTATGAAGACGAGAAAGTTTTTACACTTTGTAAAACAAAATTAAAGCTGGGTTTTTCCGCTGGCTTTGTTTCTTTTTGACGGAAAGAATCGGAGGAAAAATATCGACATAGACAGGGGTGATTAAGCAATAGCCTCCATTTGGTGCGAAAATATGCGAGAAACGTAATGACGAGAAACGATTCGGTGGGCTTCGGCGTGCCAGGAAGCGGACTTTTCTGAATGGTAGACTATGGATCTACACGCAATGAATGGAAATCGAATATCAGATATCGAATAAATAGCATTTACGGTAATAACGTTGGGAGTATAACATTTAACGCTTCAAGAGTTACAAATGCATTGGCAAAAGAAGCCAAAAAGTACCCATCAGTTTTGAAACAGTAAAATTTCGTTTTCCGTTCTTGGGTTTACGACTCTACGCTTCGGTTCCGTGCTCAATAGCAAAATTCTATTGATTAAAAACTAGCGAGGGATTTTCTCGGCCCAAAAAGAGCTGGACTTCTAGGTGTGTACATAATGAGCAACTTAGCACTTTTTTTTATCCTAACTTGTTTTTTGATTGTCTCAGAAATACACCATTGGGTCGTGACAAAGTAAGGTAAAAATATTGAAACTGTAGAAATTTGTTAAACGAATTACAGGTGTTTACGAGCTTATCCTCAATTGATGGCTCACCAACAAAATTTCATTGTATCAATATTCAGAAAGGACCCTCTCGGCCCACAAAGGTGTTGTGACTTTGAAACAACAGTAGACGCATGAATTTTGAAACAATAGAAGTACGTTGAAAATCTTTTGGGGTCCACAACCTGGTCGTCATTCCTTACTCATTTGCAAAAATTTATTCAAACCAAAATAGAGCTGTGACTATGAAAGCTACACACCCTAGAAAGCTAATCTCTCTCTTTCTGTAGCGCTATGAATTGTCTCCGGTAATCCTGTGAAACACATGCACAAATATTGAAACGATAAAAGTTCGTCAACGAGTTTCTGGGGTCAAAGACTAACCCTACTGATCTTGCTCATGAACAAAATAGTTTTATTTTAATATGCAGGGTAATTTTTTCGGCCCTCAGGAGAGATCTGTGCTTGTTTATAAAGCTATCAAACTGAAACGAACAAATGTGGAGTATTATCTCACCATGAGGCATAGATGAAACATAGTAAGTTATAAACAGTAAAACTCTGAACAAACTTTCAAAAGCTAAATTTCGTTCTCCCTAACCCTTATTTAATATGTTAGGAAGAGGCTCCGTTGGTGCTTTGTGGATCGCACGCGTACTTCAGTAATGAACAAAGCACATTGCTTGTCGACGCCTTAATTAGAATTTTTGGTCTTAGGAAAACAGATTTCAGTAGAGTTCTTAAGTCCTTACGTCATGTCTCTAGGCAACCAAACAACTTGGGTCTAAACAAAACGGCCAGGAGCCAACATGGCGGCGCTGTCGATATCATCGTTGGCTTCTTTTTTCGCAGATGAGCAAAAATCTTTAACCAGAGGTGAAAATCACTATCAATCTAATCATATTGAAAGCCTTTTCTATAACGAGGGCGGGATTCGGGGAGAGGTTCATGCCAGCATGAAGAAACTAGTCTACAAAGTGACGGTGAGTAATCGACACGCTCTGCCATATGTTGTAGAACGTTTGATTCATTCTTCTTAAACGTGTTCTTGTGCACGATTCATGTGTCCATTATTAACTTTGTCGT